GGCTGGGCTTTTGAAAAGGTGTGCCAGACGGGAACTGGGATTTTGAAAAGATGGGCCAGACGGGAACTGGGCTTTTGGAAAGATGGGCCAGACGGAACTGGGCTTCGCACCAATATCCATTTGGTTGCTTGAATAGTATCAACTCGGTGGCTTGGAAAGGTGAGACGGATAGCAAGGTCGCTAATATTGGTAAGGTTACCTAGAGACATTAATTGGAAAGTGTGAGGATGCTCACGACTTTTACGTAAGGCTGCTTACGTAGGATGAACGATGAATGCATGAGATTTCTCAAGCCGCGTATGGCTACCTATGAATGAATAGTGGATGAGGTTGCGCGAGGCTACTCACATCTTTTATGGAACACAGATAAGAAAATGTATGGGGCTGCTCACATCTTGGACATTTGTACGTAAGGCTGCTTACGATTTAGTTTGACGAAGAATGTTGGTATCATAGACTCACCCAGAGGGATAGTCGGAGAGATGTTAGAGATTGTAATAGTGACTCTCCTATAAATTGACTCTATATTTTTACGCGGTCCTAAGTCTTGAGCTATAATATGTTATGCATGCATGCAGATGCAGATGCAGACGCTCATGCGTAGAATGACTGACCAATGCATGTAATGGGTGACTTGGATATGCGTCAATGGATGTCAAAATTTTGATGTGCCTAATGAGAATTGGGCTCTCTGCTAGATCCATGCTGTCGGAATTCGTCAGTCAAATGAGATGATAGGTTTAGTTTGGCAATATCCTAATGAATATATGCTAATGATTTATGCAGACTTATGCTTTATGATTATGACTCTCATGATTTGTTAAATGATGACCCTATGATGGATCGTTGATGATTAAGCATAGAGGCTTGACTATGTAACAAGGTTTCTTGTCACATGATGGTTGAATGTTGTGCTTACATGATTTCCTGATACTCGCTTTGAACTCAGAAGATTGCTGATATAGAAGAAAGATCCATTGGAGATTATGAAAGTACATGGGGAGCTTGCTTTTTGTGGCCGGTCTTTCCCTAATTTTTAGTAGGGTTTGGAGGAGATTCTATTTGATATGCGCTTGGAAATAGTTAAATGATAGTATGGATGACCCCCTTATTTCGCACTTTGAAACATCATGCCTTTGACTAATGGGCTCTTGGATGGTTTGTCCTTGATGGGATACTTTTGAACCAACTCCTTTTGATGAGCCTCGCAGTGGCTTGCCCCACCATTTGAATTTTGAAAGAGGTGCCCCTCAAATTCCTGGATCTGGAGGAAGTACCTTCGGAAAGAACTTAGACCTCACCATGAACTTTGATATAGATTTCCCAAAGATTTGAATTTCTGAAAAGTTTGTACTTGAAGTCGCTTGAACAGGAACTTGGACCCTACGGGCGGTAGAATGAATCTGATATGAATTGCCCCAACATTTGAATCTTGGAAGATTGCACCTTGAATCAAAGCCTTGAGATATTTGTTTAAAATGAGAGAACTGAGTCATACCTTGTTATGATATGACTTGATTAAGGAATGTTCCTTCAAAAGGTATTCCCCTGATTGAACAATGCTTTGAAATTTGATCTGGGTTGATTGAATTTTCAAATGATCACCCCTTGTTAATAGTGTCTTCATGTGATATGCCCCTACAATCATTAGTATTTGCCCCTGTTCACATGAGTCCTCTTAGATGCTTTTCCCCTAGTAGAAGCTTCTTGGAAATGTTGCCTTTGATCAGACCTTTTTGAAATCTCCTTGATGCTAAGTATTGATTCGTAGATAAAAATTGTATGTTTTGAAAAGTAATTTTGTTTTATGTACATGCAAGTTTTGAAATCGAAGTTGATTATTGAAAAGAAATGGATGATTAGAGATGGATATTTGAAGAGGCAAAAAGATTAGCAATAATTTTAACAAACATAAGAGTCAGTTTAACACAATTTTTGCTTAGTATGCTTTCATAGTTAACCTCGCTTCAATTAGGACTTTTTAAGGTTGTAACGTGGCCATGGTTCGTAGTTTAAGAAACAAAAGATATAAGGCTCAAAATTTATTTAACCCATCCCAATCTCCTTGATGTTCTTCAATATTAAGTCCAATTAATCTAACAAATACGTTCAATCCCCAAGAGAAGTTTCGTAGTCGCGCAGATGATGAGAAGAGTTAATAATATCCAAGCATCGATAAGATCCAAGCGTTGTTGAGAAGCCTTTGAGGTGGCAGTCACAAGATTTTTCTCCAATTTTGTTTTCAATCCCTTATTTTTGCATGGACCGATTTTTTTTTAATTCTCGGTCCATCGGGATGCCCTAACTTTTGCCTAAGTCAAGTCTTCTTTTCTTTGACATAGCGGGCTTTCCTTTTCTTTTGAATTTCTCGTTTTTTGCTTTTGACTTTGAAAATTTATGACTGCCACGCTGATTGTTGTGAGCTTCGTCTTCATTGTTTTCCTCGATTTTGAATGATGTATTGAGGAGGAATATGTTGAGAGTTTTGTCTTTATTGATTCCTTCCTCAATCTTTGTTGATGTGCACGAGGAAGATAATGTGCTTGAACATTTGCTTAGATTATTTCCTCAATGATGTATCGAGGAAGGAGATATGCTTTAACCTTTGCTTGGATGAACTTGATTCTCTTGAGAATAGAATGCACCATTGAATTAATTGAAAGATTATCATGCCCCTGGTTAAGATTAAGGTTTTTTTTAGAAAATAGAAAGAACTCCGACTTCTGAATCGAGGGGATTGACTATGGATTAACTTCTTATTTCTCCACTGTTTAGGAATTGAAACAATGCCTTACATCGTCAGCTCGGTCTTACATTGAAAGCATAGCTTAGCAAAATTCAGTTATTTGATTTTCATCATTCTCCATCGAAGTTTGTTAGTTTGAAAACGGAAAAGAGTGAAAATAGAAAGTTGTTGTTTTTGTGGATTGAATCGATTTCAAAACATGCATGCTTATTTTATTAGAATTATTGATCCAAAGATACAAATTTACACCAAATGAACCTTAGCAACTAGGAAATTACAATTTGTACTTGATAAAGCCTAATGATTTATGGAAGAGCTCATTTGTTGATCTTCGTAAATTTAGGAGATCTTCTTAGTTCTTGGACTTGTCAAAGCGTGAGGGTGACCTTTGACTTTTCTCGAGCATACCTATCCTGTTGATAAGGCAGTTGCTCTTGATGTATGGGTTTCACCAATAATAGTGATATTTGAGGCGTTGGGTAGGCCTGTTGATGACACGGTGAAGGGTTGCCTTATTTCTTTATAGGGCCAAGTTCCATTGATTCTTTAGTAGATAATCTCCTTCTTCCACAATTTCAAACTTTATTAAGTCTGTTGGCGAGTGTCAAGAAATCAGCTAGCATGTGGGTAACAGTTGGATAAGGGCGAAGGTGGAAATGCATGAGATGCAAATGTATGAATGTATGTGAATGCATGGGTATGCAAAATGTTTTTGGCTTTAGGGTATGATGCAAAAAGGTTTCATGGATATGCAATGTGACGCAGCTGTAGTATGAGGGTAGACGCAGGGGTACCCTATACAGGTTTGATGGTAGATATAAAAATATCATACACTGTCTCAGAGATTGAAACAGATAGGAATTTCTTAAGGACGAAGATAATGATAGACATGGAAATGAGGATACCCTACACTGACTCAGATATTGAGTCAGATAGGAACTTCTTAGGGATTAAGGACCCTAGAAGACGAAGGGGAATCCCTACAAGCTAGAGATGGTAATTTAGGGACGAGAATTCCTACAAACTAGGGATTATAATAGACTAATGGACGGTTGAAGAATCCTTACATGCTATGGGTTGTGACTTATGAAAGATATACCCTACATGCTATGGGTTAAAGAATTCCTACAAGTATGTGCATATGTTTTAAAGCAGAAATGTTGAAAGCTTTAATAATGTAGTACATGTACTGACCTGAAAATTGCATGTGTCGGCCTATACTGAAGCTTTTAAGAAAATGCAGAAATGCAGAATTTATGTGTCGACTCATACAAATTTCAGGTCGATACATAAGTGTTGATTTTGTGCAAAAACTGATTTTTCATGATTGGGATAACGTCCACCATACTTAAATGTTAGCTTTCTGAGTTTGACATCATGTAAAATATCTAATAGTGTAGTTGCACTCAATCTAGAGCTTTTAAAATAGATTATCCGAGCCTAAACGGGTCAGCCCTGACGGGCCTCAAAATTTTTAGGGTCGGACCAAAAAAACTTTGTTGTAATATATGGGCCTGAAAATTAGAACCCGGGCCAGGTCCTAGATGGGCTTCTTAAACAGGCTTTTTTTAATAAAAAATCTATAATATTTAATTTATTTTGTAATAATAAAAAATTTAATTTTAAAATCTGAATGTTTATTAACCAACTTCATAACTTTATTAATCAACATTTTACATTTAATTAATCAACTTTATATTATTACTATAAACTATTTTTATTATCTGGACGTTTATTAATCAACTGCGTAACTTCATTAACCAATATTTTACTTTTCATTAACCAACTTTGCTTACAATTAAAAATTATTTTTAATATCTGAGTATTAATTAACCAACTTCATTATTTCATTAATCAATTTTTTATTTTTTATTAACTAATTTTATTTTACAACTAAATTATTTTTAATATATGGACATTTATTAACAAACTTCATCACTTTATTAACAAACTTATATTGTATTGTTCATTGATAAGTGTATTGTTCATAAAATATCTTATCTAAAAACCGGGAGAAATGTTTCCTTCAAGTCACGTGTGTAGATTCGCTGAGCATATCGATATCAGATCATGCACATAACGCAAGATCAACGTCAACTTCAACAACACACCCTTCTCTAGATCATGCACATGCACCAGTATAAATTAATTTCCACTTGATTAAACAACGATTAAAATTCTGCTAACATCTCTTAATTTCTATATATCACAATCAAACACAAAAGCACACTAAGTAAAGACAAGACCAAAGATGATGAACACGTTGTTCTTGATCATGTTTTACTTCTTATCCGTTCTATTTCTCTTTCTCTTTCTTCTCATCTCAATTCTCATACTCACAACATTCATAGGACAATCCATAAAAAACCCTAAATTTCCACCAGTGAAAGGAACAGTCTTCCACCAATTAATCAACTTCAAAACACTCTTCAATTACTTAACACAAATAGCACTAACCAATCCAACTTTCAGGCTTCTAGCTCCAAGGAAATCCAAGATCTACACGTCCGACACACGAAATGTGGAACACATACTCAAAACAAATTTCCACAATTACTCCAAAGGAAAGTTTAACCATGATACTATTTTTGATCTTTTTGGTGATGGAATTTTTGCTGTTGATGATGATAAATGGAGGCATCAGCGAAAGCTTTCTAGTGTTGAGTTTTCAACTAGAGTTCTTAGAGATTTTAGCTGCGATGTTTTCAGAAGGAATGCTGCTAAGTTGGTTAGAGTTGTCTTAGGGTTTTCTAATGCAGGAATGGTCTTTGATATGCAAGTAAGTTTGTTTAATAAATTTGATCAAATGATAACTACATAAATATTTGATATCTTGCGGTGCAAGTTTGAATCTGCGATATCTCTTTCTCTAAAAACAGACCAAATATCTACTATTTGTGTAACATTATATTAATCTATGGTAGAATATTGAGCTATGAATGTTAATTTATTTTTTTAGGATATAGTAATGAAATGTACTTTGGACTCCATATTCAAAGTTGGGTTTGGAGTGGAATTGCAATCTTTGGAGAGATCAAGCAAAGAGGAAAATGTCTTCATGAAGGCCTTTAATGATTCAAATGCGTTCGTATTCAGACGCTATTTAGACCCTTTATGGAAGTTGAAAAGGGTTCTTAACTTTGGATCAGAAGCTTCCCTTAAGAAGAATATCAAGATAATTGATGATTTTGTGCATAGCATAATTAAGACCAAAAGGAAACTTTTATCAGTGCAAAATGATTTTGTAAGTTCAGCTTCTTCCTTTATGTCTTCAATCTGAATTGATTCTATTCCATTTAGATATTGTATTAATATTTGTTTGTTTCTGTTCCATGTTTGATTTTTTCCAAGAGTGATAAAGAAGATATACTTTCAAGGTTTTTGGTGGAAAGTAAAAAGGATCCTTCAAATATGACAGATCAATATTTGAGGGATATAATTCTAAACTTTATGATTGCTGGAAAAGATACAAGTGCAAACACTTTGTCATGGTTCTTCTACATGTTATGCAAGAACCCTCTTATACAAGAAAAAGTTGCACAAGAAGTAATAAATGTTACTTCTACTCAAGAAAGTAAACTCAATTCAGATGAGTTTGTGAACAATATTACAGATGATAATCTTGACAAAATGCATTATCTTCATGCTGCATTAACAGAAACATTGAGGCTATATCCTGCTGTTCCAATGGTAATTTATAGTACAATACATCTGTTGTAAAAAAACTATAAATCGTAGCTTCAAGTAGAATCAATTCTGAAAAATATTGAATTGTTTTATTTTTTGGGTGTGATACAAGACTGGTAGGACAGCGGAAGAAAATGATATACTTCCTGATGGGTACATGGTGAATAAGGGAGAAACAGTGTATTACTTGTCCTATGCTATGGGAAGAATGCCTTACATTTGGGGGGATGATGCTGAAGAATTCCTACCTGAAAGATGGCTTAAGGATGGAATCTTTCAACCAGAATCATCAATCAAATTCATTTCATTCCATGTAAGTGTCACTTTCTTTCAAGGTTAAGATTAGTTCTTACAATTCATTTTAAGTGACAGTTAAATATTTTTCATATTTGCAGGCTGGTCCTCGTATATGTTTAGGAAAAGAGTTTGCTTATAGACAGATGAAAATAGTAGCAATGGCACTTGTTAGACTCTTTAGATTTAAGTTGGCAAATGAAAGAGATCATGTGACATATAGGACCATGTTCACACTTCATATTGACAAAGGCCTCCCTCTTTATGCTGTTCCAAGGTGTCATGTATTTGAATAAAGTAATGTATTTCCAAGTACTTGGCGTTTTGATATTCAAGTGCGGTTTTTTTCGGATTCTATTTTTTTCGTTTCGGTTTAATAGTGCAGTTTAATCAATTTTAAAATATTAATTTCATTTCAAAATCAATCTAATTGACACACTGGGCCAATGATGGTCCAGTTTTAACTCTGCAAAAAGCAATTTTTTGAATACATCTATATTGATATATTTATATAATATATTAAATTTAATGCATTAAATATTATATTAATACATCATCAATTATAACTCTAAAAATCATCAATTATAACTCTAAAATTTGTCACATTATTCTATAGTTCTATGTGGCGCATTTCAAAACTCATTTTCACTTTTTAAAATGTCAAATACAATACTTCTATAAATTGGAGGTCACGGATTTGAACAAATTAGTCTAACAAACCAATCATTACTCCTATTAAATATATTTATGTTTTTAATCTTAAAGTAATTCTTACATAATTTTTAAATATAAATCACTTTAAACTTATTTAAAAATATAATATAGTACGCAACAATCTTTTATGGTGTCTATATACTTTACTATTATATTTTTTATATAATATCAAATAATAAACTAATGACAAATAACGAAATATCATGTAAAAGAGATGAGAGAGTCAAACACAATAAAGGATTTTTGGCTTAATTGCAACTTTGGTCCATCTATTTTGTATTTTTTTCAATTTTGGTCCTCCTATTTTAAAAATCACGATTTTAGTCCCTTTTTAAAGTTTTGTGTTGAATTTTAGTCCCTCTCCAATTTTAATGATGTGGCATTCAATTTGCTGATGTGTCAATGCCACATAATTTTAAAATAATCAAATACTTTTTATTTTATAATTCTACTTTTAGAAAATATATAAAATTAATTTAGAAAAACAAAACTCTTGTACTGGGATCAAACCCATGTACTTAAGGGTGTGGCCACACACCTCTTTCTACAGAGCCACCAACTTTTCTGTGTCATAATGAGGCTTCTCTATATACCTAACTTTCAAACATGTCGCTGCAGATGAAAAATCACTTCATCATTTCATGAAATATTGGACCTCTCTTTCAAAAGTCATAGAAAACAACAACAATAGTTTATCATCTCTTCAACACTCTCTATCTCTTGATTTTTCTTCCCATGAAAGAGACAAAATACACAACACATGCACATGTCATCTTTTATTATAACGTGTTCCTTGATTTGATTTTGCATGGTATAACACAACATCACAAACTCAACCAACAAACACTTCCTTCTCTTAAAATAATCGAATATCTCTTTCTTTCCCGCCACACCACCGTGTTTCACACCTAACAACATTAACCGCAAACTCAACCAAGAAATTGGCCACCACCTCTTTTGCAAAATCCAACCGCACCTCCAAAACGCCACCCTCACCACTCATTCTCCTTTAGTTCGTGACCACTTCACCAGCGATATCCCTTCCATCTTCAAAATGCACTCTCAGATCAGCGTAAAAGTATCTCTGACACGTTCCATTTTGTTTGTATTTGTGAGCTGCTTAAAGGTTGTCTCTGCGAACTCGTTAAAGCTCATAACTTTGTTTTGGTTTCGCAATGCTAAACTTAAGTGTCTATTTATAGGTATAAAGTATGGATATTAAAAAAAATCCATTCATTTGAATTTTGAATTCTGCTTTGGTTGAAAATGTTATTGTACCTTTCATATGCAAAACCAAATCAATGAACATGTTACAACAAAAGATGACAAGTGTTGTGTTATATCTTTACATTTATGATTATCCAAAACTCATTTCTTCAGTGTGTAATTGCAAGCTTCTCAAGTCATATTTAAAGCATGTGTTTTGATGAAGACAACATGGACATCAACATTCAAAGGATGTGCAAAAAGCTTATCAACATCAAATAAAAGTCTTGAAGATTATTGAAGATTATTGAAGAATTATTGAAGAATCATCAAATATCAAATGGTATAAATAATTCTTAAAATCTTGAATATAGATGTTCACAATATGCATTCATCAACATATACATATTCCATAACTTTAACATCAAGGAAAAATTTGTTTGAAATATCTTTCAAAAAGTATTTTTGAAAATAACCCTTTAGGAACCGGTTCCTCCCTAACAGGGAACCGGGTTCCAGAATTTCTCAAAAAACATGTCCCTGGTTTTTGTACCAGGAACCGGGTTGTACCAATAGGGGAACCGGTTCCTGCGTGATATTTTTTGAATTCCAACTTATAACGTTCACTAAGAACCGGGTTCTGTCAGTGTCGGAACCGGTTCCTAGCGAACCAGTGCAGCTTTTACTTTGTTTTTTGAACATTTTTTAAGTGGTATCTTTTCATGAATGCATTGCAACTTTTCATATGAATTGGCATGAATGAAGAGGTTCTTATGACTTTATAAAATGCAGATTTTTTCAATTTTTTTTAAACAAGAACACATATAACATTTTCAAAACAACAAAAACCTTCTTCATAACAATTTTCTCATTCATTCAAATTTGCACATAAACTTTCATGTGTTCATAATTTTGTGAAACTTGCCATATACACTTTCATTATCATTACAAGTTTCATACATACATTGTGAACATTTATATACATTGTTGAGAATTGTTTTTATCTTGAAGAAGAAGATCAATTGAAGATTGATAAAGCTCTCCATATACTTCAAACTAAATCATTGTATTACTTAAAGAAATTATTCCCTTACTATCCAGGATTGTTGGAAGTAAGTGTTGTGATTTGAAGAGGATTGTTCTTCATTCACATTAGTGTTTGTTTGGTCTTAAAGGTGTTAAGAACCTTTGATCACCCTATAGGTTAGATAGTAAGCATAGGCTGTACAATCATTCTAACTATAGTAAAATCTCTTTCGTGTTGGAAAGGGGACTGGAGTACTCTCGGATTGTGAGGGGAACCAGGATATATCACCGTGTTCTTTACTTTTCCGCATTTATCGCTTTCATCACCATAATCAAGAAAAGATAAAGATATAAACAAAACCTTCAAACACTTAACCAAAATTACTACCAAGCATTCTCATAAAACCGAATAAATTTTTATAAGACCTAATTCACCCCCCCTCTTAGGCACTCTGAGACTTACAATTGGCATCAGAGCAAGTTATAGGTAACTTGTTCCTAAAGATCCAGAATGGCTTCCGCAAATCATCAACCAGTTTTCAGAGATGGTGGTAGTAACAACAAGCCTCCTCTATTATGTGGTGAATATTTTGACTTCTGGAAAATACGCATGAAGGCGCATTTAGAAGCACAAGGAGGGGAAGTATGGGATGTTGTTGAAAATGGTCTATTTATCCCGATATCAGTTATCAATGGCATTGGTTCTGCAAAGCCCAAAACTGCATGGGACGACGATGATAAAAAGAAAGTTCTCTATGACAAAAAGGCAATAAACCTTCTTCAAGGTGCACTCAGTATGGACGAATTTTTCCGTGTCTCGAACTGCAAGACAGCAAAAGAAATATGGGATACCCTAGTTCAAACTCATGAAGGAACGGCTGAAGTAAAAAGATCAAGGCTAAATACCTTGAGTCAAGAATATGAACTATTTTGAATGCAGCCCGGAGAATCCATTCTTGACTTACAAAAGAGATTTGTGCATTTGACAAATCACTTAAATGCTCTTGGTAAAACCTTGACAAATGATGAACTCAACTTGAAAATCCTTAGATCATTGACTAGGGAATGGCAACCAAAGGTAACAGCAATCTCGGAAAAGAAGAGTCTCTCCGCAATGACTTCCGCTACATTAATTGACAAACTTCAAGAATACGAAACGGAACTTGGTAGACTTGAAAAACATGAAAATTTAGAGAAGAAATCCAAAGGCATTGCTTTGAAAGTTGATTCAAAAGAAAGTCAAGATAAAGATGCATCGGAGGAAGATGAAAACTTCTTGCTTCTTGAAAAAAGGTTAGGAAAATATTTTGGTCATAAAAATAATCTTCATAATGCTAACTTTGTCAAAAGGAAGAAATTTTATAATCATAAAGATAAAGAAGCCTCCACATCAACACAAGACGTCACATGTTATGAATGTGAAAAGCAAGGTCACATAAAGCCGGATTGTCCAAAACTCTCCAATAAAAATGGATTCAAAGGCAAAAAGGAGTTCAAGAACAAAAAGGCTTATGTTGCATGGGAAGATAATGAGATAAGTTCTTCATCCGATTCGGAAAGCGAGGAATATGCAAATCTAGCATTAATGGCTTCACATCACTCCGACGATGAAGAAGAGGTATGCTTGAAATCCACATCAAATGTTTGGTATCTTGATAGTGGATGTTCAAAGCATATGACAGGAGATGTACACCAATTTTCATATCTAGTACATAAAGCCAAAGGGTATGTCACCTATGGAGACAACACCAAAGGAAAGATTCTTGGCGTTGGAATAGTTGGCACACCTCTATCCATTCAAATTGAGGATGTTCTCTATGTTGAAGGATTAAAGCACAATCTTCTTAGCATAAGTCAACTTTGCGATAGAGGGTTCAAGATCAAATTCAACAAAGATGAATGTCTCATTATGGATGAGGCAACCAATGAGGTAAAACTCAAAGGTATAAGAACTAACAATATTTTTATGATTACTTTAGATGATTTGTCTCTGAAGGTACAATGTCTTATGGTAAACAACAATGACGCTTAGTTATGGCACAAGAGGATCGCTCACATTCACATGGAGCACTTGAACAAATTGGTTAAGCATGACTTAGTTATTGGTCTACCAAAGATGAGGTTCATCAAAGACAAATTATGTAATGCATGCCAAAAGGGCAAACATACCAAAACAACTTTCAAATCTAAGAATGTGGTGTCTACTACAAGGCCACTACAATTGTTACACATGGATCTCTTTGGTCCATCAAGAACAAAAAGCTTCGGAGGTAATGTATACGCTTTAGTCATTATTGATGATTTTTCTAGATATTCTTGGACTTTGTTTCTTGTGTAGAAAAGTGATGCT